ACCGGCGCGGATGGGACATGGCACGCGACGCCTGTTGGCTTGCTGCTGCATGCGGACTTGAGCGTTTTGCATGTTTGCGCGGGCTTGTGTCAGCAATTCTCTGTACTTCCGAATGGAAGCGGGGGAGCAAGCGGCGTCAATGTCGGCTGGTCGAGGGAGGAGAAGGTCGGCGAAGATACGGCCTTTCCGTCCACCGTGGTGCAACTCGAATGGAGTCACGCCGATCGCCGGGTGCACCGAAGTGTTGTAGTCGAGCTCGATGTCGGGGAGGCGGTCAACCCAATCGTTATGGTTCGGACGCATGAGCGTACGAAGCATCATTTGAGCGGTTGGATGTGCCCGCTCCGTCTGCCCATCTGTCTGTGGATGTCGAGCCGAACTTGGTTTCATCATCGTGCCGGATTCCTGCCTGAGCGCAGTCGAAAATGCTGACATGAAACGAGTGTCGCGGTCGTTGACTATGTCTTCCGGTACACCGTGGCCACAAATCCAACCAGTGTGTAGGAGGCGTGCCAGCTCGGGAGACGTGGAGTAGTACTTGCAAGGAAGAAAACGCGCATACTTACTCAATCGGTCCACCACCGTGAGGATGCCATCGTGCCCGAGCCGGTCGCGGGGAAACGGACCGGTGACGTCCATGGCAATGGAGAGACCAGGTTCCCGTGGAATAGGCATCGGGCGTAACTCGCCGTAGGGATTGCGGTTGTGGGGCTTGCTGCGTCGGCAAACTTCGCAAGAGTCGCAATACCGAGTGACATCGGTGATGAGATTGGGCCATCGGAATCGCTGTCGAAGCCGTGCAATAGTGCGGTTGACTCCGAAATGGCCGGCGAGTCGCGAATCATGATACTCACTGAGGAGGCGAGTCCAAAGACGGCGGTCGCGTGGGACACATAGTAAGTCCTTGCCTCTCGAGTGGAGGAGCAAGTACCCGTCGGCAATGCGATAGTGGCTGGCCGGCGGGTGATCTGAAGRTAGTTGTGCATACAGCGTGGCGAAGTCCGGATCAGACTCATATGCGMGGATGAAGTGTCGCTGAAGCTCCTCGTCGAATGCGAAGGCATGATGTGTCATAGCGCAAAGATCGAGTCTTCGCGAGAGTGCATCTRYTGSGCGATTGGAGAGGYCGGGAAGATGTTTCGGTGTGAAGTCGAATTGGTCGATGAAGTACYGATCGTGCTGCTCACCATATCCTGCGTCTTGTAGTAGGTCRATGGATTGTTGTCCGTAACCCATGTGAATCTACGACGCCCAAGGAGGAAGTGCCGCCATCGCTTGAGAGCCATGACGAATGCGAGCAGCTCCTTCTTCCTTGCATCATCAAGCGAGTTGATGGGAGGCACTTTGTGGCTGAAATACTCCACACGGTGCCAGTCGTCGCCGTCGTGTTGTTCCAAGACTGCCCCAATGCCATAACCGGAAGCGTCCGTAGTCACTCTCGTCGGCAGGGTGGGGTCATAGATGCTAAGGATGGGTGCCATGAGCATGGTCGGCTTAAGTGCTTGGAATGACCGACGCGCGTCGTCATCGAATACGAATGACACCTTTGGCGACTGTAACCTCGTCATAGGTGCAGCAATCCTGGAATATCCGGTGATGAATCGCTGATAGTAGCCCGCCAACCCCATGAATGAAC